AGTTTGAAGACCCCTGAGTCCTACAGCAATAACTTTAACACTATCAAACAACAAGATCTGCCCATCCAGGTCCTTGGGAAAGGACTCAGTAGGTGGACAAAACTGCAAAACTCAGTCTAAACATCTGGCTGATTGTGTCAACGAAGATAAATAATGTTACCTCAGATATTGGATTCCCTAATTGGATTTAAGCATTGCAGATGTGTCTAGGGATAGAATGGGAGCAAGTGACATCCTGTGCATTGTGACATTATTCTGCAAAACATCAAGTTTGCAGCCACACCAGTGTGATCAACACGCACCCTGTTTTCATTTGCAACACACATTAAAAACAGACAGAACTTTGAAAGTTGCAGTTCCATTTCAAGGCGATACTTTTGCTATACATTAATATACCTTACCTTTATTCAAAGTGCCAATGAACAAGCACTGTACATGATAACAGCTGCAAGAATTCTATATGCTTTTTATTGAAAAAGATCTCTGGTTCTTAATTCTAATATCTCAAGGGCTGCCACAAAAAAGAGGGAGTCAAGCTATTCTGCAAAGCACCTGAGGGCAGGACAAGAAGCAATGGATGGAATGGAAACTAATCAAAGAGAGAAGCAACTTGGAAACTTGGAACTAAGGAAACATTTCCTGACAGTGGGAACAATTAATCAGTGGAACTGCTTGCCTCCAGAAGTTGTGAATGCTCCAACACTGGAAGTTTTTAAAAAGATGTTGGATAACCATTTGTCTGAAGTGGTGTAGGGTTTCCTGCCTAAGCAGGGGATTGGGCTAGAAGACCTCCAAGGTCCCTTCCAACTCTGCTATTCTGTTCTATTCTATTCTATTCTATTCTATTCTATTCTACTCCCTCTACAGAAGAATATTAATTAAATGGGGAATGTCTAGAATAACTTTGTATCTAAAAAAATAAATGTGATTCAATCTTATTTTGAAACGGTTTCTGGAGTATAATTCTAGGCATGGCATTGAATCACATCCCCAATTTGGCTTCTGGAAAAAATAAATAAAGGGCAAACCAATGATAAAGGGGGCTAATTTGGCAGAGTTTCATCAGAATTTAAAACATGATTGTTTATACTTATAACTTGTGCTTTCCAAAAGACATGACAGAGATGGAGGACAGCGGTATGGCGGGGGGGATTATGGTTGACGCTCAGAGATGCTGGTGGGACAGCTAGCACAGGAAGCCGAGGCAGGAAGTCTGAGGCCACAATGGCGGAAGCCTCTGTTGCTGCTGATAAGGGCTGCTGGAGAAGCTCGGAGCTGCCCTGTTAGCTTGGGGGGTTCTTTAAATAGCTCTCCCATCTTCTGTAATAAAGGATCGAGAGGAGGAGGTGATGGGAGAGATGTACGCAGGGTTTCCTGTTTGGCTATTGAAATCCTAAGTCTGAAAGGAGGGGGGTGGGGGGGGGTTTGGCGGTTTTAGTGGCGTTTGGTCTCCTTTGCTCCAGCAATTCTTTTGGCACTGATGGGTCGAAGGGTCAGCAGTGGCTGGATCTTGCAGAAGCAGGACAGGCTGGGAGAAAGGATCTTTCAAATTTGGAGGGATTGGGCTGGGTATGAAATGGTACCCAAGGCAGGAAAGCCCTCTTGTGTTTGTTCCAAGAGACTGTTTAAGGCAGAGGTCTCCAAATTTGGCAACTTTAAGGCTTGTGGACTTCAACTCCCAGAATTCTCCAGCCAGCTATGCTGGCTGGAGAATTCTGGAAGTTGAAGTCCACAAGTCTTAAAGTTGCCAAGTTTGAGGACCCCTGGTTTAAGGGTTGCCCAGCTGAAGAGCTGCTCCCAGGCCTGGTTGGGCAAGCTTGGAAAAACTAATCAAGCTGGGATGAGAGACCACGAGGAAACCTCAAGGATGTAGACTGAGCAAGTGAAAAAAGCAGAGAGGCGAGCGTGTCTAAATTGTCACCAAGGAAACTGGATGGACGTTCACAAGAGAAGACAATTTCTTCAGTAGATTGATATTCCACCTTTGCTCAAAGGTGCTTGGACAGCTACTGCCATTCATTTTATCCTCATAACAATAACCTTTGTAATAGATTGGGATACGAGAGAATAACGAGAGAACAACGTGCCCCAAATCACCCAGGGAATTTCCATGGCTGAGGATGGAGTTAGACGTTACCTTTCCTCATAATTCATCCTTATAACCAAGGGTTACTCAACCTTGGCAACATTAAGATGGGTGGACTTGAATTCCTCGAAGTCCCCAGCCAGCATGCTGTATAATATAGCAAGTTAGGGAATTCTATCAGCCGATCAGGAATAACATGGTGCTAGAGAGTATGAAGAGATGCAAAGGATTTGTTTGAATTATGGAATTTGCCATTACGAGGTGCCCTGAATTTGTCCCCAAAGTATCTCAAGGAGATGCTGCAAAAGCCATGGAGAAAGCATTGAGGAGGAAATCAGAAATAGTTTGCTTCTGAAACTATTGTTGTTAGAGGACATCAAGGCCACTTGATTGCTCTTTGGCTCCGTATTGTGCGTGGGAGTTTCCCAGAAATTTTCCTTAATTGTTGGAAGATTTTTTTTTATCAGATCCAGCCCACTCTTGCAACTATTATGGGAGGATCCTGGCATGGCAAGAGAGAGTTCTTTTAACAACGCTTTTTCTACGTAGCCCCCAGCTGAGACTTGGCAAGTGACAGAATAAACCGATTTTGAAGAATCCACAGTGCATAGCCTCAAAGTCAAATGTTCTCTCACCTGCTAACCTCAACAATTACACACAGGATGGGGAGGGGGGGGGAATATGTTTAAAAAGTTGCTTCTGCTTTCTTCAAGGTTCTAACTGACCCAATGCTAGAGCTGCTCCAGAAATTCAAAATGGCATTTTAAAAAATATTCTTTTTAATCCCGCCTTTTAAAATTATTTTTGTAAATAAGTCAAGGCACTTCCTCCTCCTCCAACAACAACCCTGTGAGGTGAGTTGGTCCTAAAGAGACGGACTGGCCCAAAATCACCCAGCAGGGCTCCTACCTAAGGCGGGACTTGAACTCACTGTCTCCTGGTGATTGGCCCAAAGTCACCCAACCAGCTTTCATTCTTAAGGCGGGACTAGAACTCAGAGTCTCCTGATCTCAAGCCTGGTGTCTTCATTACTCAATCAAACTGGCAATTTTTTGGTACATTTTAAAAGCAATAATTCAGGGGTCTCCAACCTTGGCAACTTTAAGCCTGGCGGACTTCAACTCCCAGAATTCCCCAGCCAGCAAAGCTGGCTGGGGAATTCTGGGAGTTGAAGTCTGCCAGGCTTAAAGTTGCCAAGGTTGGAGACCCCTGCAATAATTCATCCAATCTATGTTAGCCTTGCACCATCCATTAACAGCTCCTTGGCCTGCAGGTGACCAGACTCATATCACTCCCCTGCTACCATAGATCTTCGTCAAACGGCTTTTGCAGATTGAATTATTTTGAAAGCAGGAAGAGCAGAGAAGCTAGGATGGGGTGGTGTCTGATTAACATGGCTTGACTTGAAGAAAAGAAAACTGCAGAGCCTTATTTTTTTTATTTTTTTGGAAGCTGAATCATTCTTTCTGCGTCCCATGGAAAGGGCAGATTGTTAAGGCAACTTTATCTATCCCTGCCACAACATGACCAGGGAAAGAAAAACAAACAGGAAAATCTTGGCCTCTCACGCATGAAGCATTCCAGAAAATCCTTAAGTCAATGCCAAACCCAAGACTGTTCTCAAGATTTGGGGGAACCCTCAAGTGAGAGAAGACATCCGTGGTCTCTTTAACCTGGAAGTTGTGGAGCTGTATTCACCAGCTAGTCCGAAAGGTCAGAGAAGGCAGATGGGTGGTGATGTTAGGCCAGATTCTTTGCTAGTCTGGAGTCTACGCGTCCCCTTGAAGCCAACTACTTCCAAGAACAGCTCAGACAACAAAGCCCTGGCTTGCTGGTTTCACTGTGACAGTCCAATCCAGCTTCTTCTTTGCAAATGATTAAGCAAGGCTCCATTTCCCTCATCTTTAAAAATCTGAACAGGTCAGCACTAAACTACAGTTAAAATCCCAGCACGGATTCCTTCCTGCCAATAATAATGCAAAGCTGAAGATAAACAAAGATATCCTTAGAGAAAAGTTAGGTTAGCTATATATTCTCAAACTTGGACCGGGGAAGAAAAAAAGTTTTCCCTCAATGAATTCTGAAAATTCTCTACCAACCTAAGTTGATTGTTAACATTATTATTTTCTTCAAGAGCACAGCATGGTTAAAACAAGGCAAATCCTTGAGCTGGTAAAATTTTTGAAGCCTCCAATGTTTTTTACAGGTCAGCCTCTGTTTGGCCAACCTGGTCAGAAATGTATGCTGTGCAGGAAAATAAATTGTGAAAGGAATGGGCGAATCAAAAAGCTAAAGTTGGAAATAAGGAATGAATAAAAACAGCTACGGTTGAAAAGTATAAAAGCTTTATAAAAATTGAAAATGGATGAATAACAACAGGAATGCAAAATAAATAAATAAAATAAAATAAACTGACCTCTTACCACAGGGGAGTCATTCCAATTTGGGGGTGACGTGTCCCCCAACACTTAGTATCCTTCCCCAGACTTCTGTGTTTTGGCATGGAGATGCCATTTTCATCTCTTGCCAGGCATCTTGATGGTTTGGTGAAAGATAGGTCCTTGTGTCCGGTTGTGGCAAAATATGAAGATCCCCAAAACTTGCTCGCCTGCCTTCGTTTGGTTGGCCAGACTTAGCGGTGCAAGGGGCTCCCTGCTTTACAGCTGAAAGTGTCTGGTGGTGGTTTGGTTTGGGTTTTTTAAACTCAGAGACATCAACCGCCACGAAAGGGAAGGAAGAGGAAATTTTTTTGTACCAGAAGGAAAGAGCGGAGGGGGGCCCTGTTTCTGGAGCTGGGTGTGTATGAGACAGAGAGGAACTGAACCAGAGACCAGCTCAGTGCAAACTGGAAGACAGAGACAAAGAGAGGGGGATCAGCTGCTAACAAAGATGGAGGAACTTCTCCAGAACTTACCTTGATGGTGCAATCCATGGCACGCCTCTACCTGCTGCTTTCCGCCTAGATCTCCATGGGCAGTCAGATGAGTTGCATTGGCAGGGCTGATCTTGCGCAGGGGGCCGGATGAACACGACTTGGTGTGTGTATATGTGTATGTGTGTGTGTATGTGTGTGTGGTGTATGTGTGCGTCTAATTTTGGGAAGTGAAGTCACACAAACCGCCAGGGCTGGTTTCCTATTGGTGTGACCAAGCATACAGGCTCTGAAAGTTTTTTTTTGTTTTTTTTAAATAGCATTGTTGGCTTTGATGCATTTTTTTTCCTCTTCTTGTTCAAATTACAAATGGGTAAGTCAAGAGATTTTTTTTGAGACTGAAATGGAAGGACAAGAGAGACGGCGGGTGAAAAACAGAGAGGGATGAGGGCAAAAGAAGACCTGTTATTTTTTCTTGAAGGGTCATTTGATTTATTTTTGCAGGAAGCAAGACCAGGAGGGGTGCGTCCCACAAAAGTCAGGAGGACCCAATGTTTGATCTTTAAAGCAAGCGTTTTTTATGGGTTGAAAATTAGCTTCTGAAGTCGGAAAGGCACTGTGCACTTTCAGAGGTAACTTCTGTCTTAGCCCCCCTTGTTTGCGCCATGTTACCCTCTTCAGCTAAAGGGTATTGCTTACAGTTGGGCCTCTTAGGTTGAGGACAGGCAAGCCTGATGAATTATTTACTGAATTTAGATCTCAATGAGACCGGAATTGCAAACTTCTTATGAATTCTTGCTCAGTGATTTCATCTGTAATCCTTGATTCTGTCTCAGCTACATTACTGAACGCTGCTGCTCTGTTATGCAGTTGGTCAGGAGGCTATTTTAGTCTATCTGGGAGACTAACCTGTTAGGTCAGTAAGTGACCTGTGGGCACTCTCACAAAATGGTTGCCACATTGGACCGTTCTGTAGCCAATCATGTCATGCAGCATGGGTGGCAGACAATTGGATGAGATTATTTTTTTTATTTACGGCCAGCTTTCTTCCTGCTTTTGATGTCTGTCTTAGCTTTGTTTTATTTTTATTATTTATTATTATTTTATTATATTACATTGATCTCTCTTCTCAGCAAAGAAATAACCTGAAATTCCTGAGCTTTTTGTTGTGGTGGTGGTTGTTGTTGTCTAAAGATTCTTATGGAGCCTCAAGTAGGATCTGGTGGCATTCCTATAAAATTATGTTGGGGCTGGAGCTTTGCTTGGTCGTAGGGCACCTCTCTATTTATTTACTTATGTATTCTGCTTAATCAAGGGAATTTATAAAATAATAATTGAGGTGGCGCAGAGACATTGGCAGACACAATGAGTCAGTGGGCAGGTGAGTAGGGTAGGTGAGGATGCACCTAATCCATTTATGAAATCATTTTGTTAGAATGAAGGATACAGCGTCCATAATATCAATGAAATCCTAGTCAATTTTGTCTGGGTTAGGGAAAAGTTGAGAAAAGAGTTTATTCGAAAAGAGAATAGGAGAAGAAGTGAACAACTTCATTCTCAGGTGTAGACTATTCTCAGATGTCACATGGACAAGCATGCATTCATATGCAGTCTGTGTCTTTGTTAATTGAGATCAATTGATATTTAATCAGTAAATGGCCGAAAATTGTTGATGTGAATTTTGGACTGGAGTCAATTCTAATTGAAATGATCTGGTCTGATCCTCTCTCTTTATCCTATGAGCAAGAACAATTTTTAAATGATAACAGTTGGCTGATTATTCTATCTTGTGCTTCTTCTCTTTGGTCCTCAGTCAAGTCATTGGTTATTTATATGCTGGAGTGGCTTCATAACATATGAATCTAGAACAAGGTTTCTCAATCTTGGCCATTTTAAGATGTGTGGTCTTTAGTGTCCAGAATTCCCTAGACAAGTGGCCAAGGTTGGGAAATACTGATCCAGAAGCATCAACCAGGCTCTAGACTACTTTACAGTCAACCAGGCTCTAGACTGTTTACTAGACCAGAAAGTTTGGGCTATATTTGATTGAACAAATCACTATTGGTTATCACTTTGTACAGTAAGATGACTGTATCTATCTACCCATAGCACATTTAAGCTGATTACTTAATGAATCCATAGTCGGATTTTGCACATTATCTAAACTAACCACTTAGATTACATTTGGACAGCACAAGGGGAATAAGAAAATGAACCATGGTTAATATTATTTAAATTTACTATGTGGTGCAAATGCAACTTTTTGGTTTTAGCTGACCCAATTAAGCAGACCTCAAGTCATGGTTTAACTAACCTCCATGGGCTTGTCTGCAGAATAAACAAATTCAAGCCCCAGCAAACTATGTTAGAGCTTATTGTGATGTGTGATTATCAAAATGAAAACTCATTGCAAGAATAATATTGAAACAGAACTGAAACAATAATTAAGTTAACCATTTGATTTAAAACTACTAATTGTAGCTCTCTTGCCCCATGACCAGTTTCTCTATATAAATATACATACATCATGTTAATCATGGAATTTTTATGATGATGATGATGATGATGATGATGATGATGATGATTATTATGATGATTATGATTATGATGATTATGATTATGATGATTATGATTATTATTGGAATACCATGATGAGTATGATGTATGTATGATGTATGTATATATATTTATATAGAGAAAGTGGCTATGGGGCAAGAGAGGTACAATTAATTAGTCTTTAATTAAATGGTTAATTTAATTATTGTTTGAGTTCTGTTTCTATATTACTCTTGCAATGTGTTTCCATTTTCATAATCATATTTGTATTCATAATAATAATAAGTATTATTATACTTTTATTCATTAAACATGAAACAAAGTCAACTGAATAAAAACAGATCACAAATATCATTGACAGACACTGATGGTTGATACGGGTTGCTTCCAGCATCCGAGGTATCAACCAACTATCTTCTTAAGATGTACGATGTTCCAAGTAGCTCAATTTTTTGCAGTTCCACTGATGTTATTACAGGAAGCTGCAATTTCTTGATTTATTGTGATTAACAGATAACAGATAATCAGAGTTGAAAGGGACCTTATAGATCATCTAGTCTAACCCCCGCCCAAGCGGGAGACCCTATACTGTTTCTGACAATTGCAGTCCAATCTCTTCTTGAAAGTCTCAAGTGATGATGTTCCCACAACTTCTGAGGGCAACTTCTGTTCCATTGGTGATTGTTCTCACTGTCAGAAAGCTTCTCCTTATTTCCAGGTTAAATCTCTCCTTGTTCATTTTCCATCCATTATTCTTTGTCTGGCCTTTGAGTGCTTTAGAAAATAGCTTGACCCCTTCCTCTCTGTGGCAGCCCCTCAAATATTGGAACATGGCTATCATGTCTCCCCTGGTCCTTCTCTTCACCAGACTAGCCATGCCCAGTTCCTGTAACCGTTCTTCATATGTTCTTCATATGTTCTTCATATGTTTTAGTCTCCAGTCTCCTAATCATCCTGGTTGCTCTTCTCTGTATTTTTCTAGAGTCTCAACATCTTTTTTATAATGTGGTGATCAAAATTGGATTCAGTACTTTAGGTGTGGTCTTACTAAGGCTTTATAGAGTGGTATTATTACTATTATTATGCACATTATATAAATTAACTATCTGGATTAAATTTGGACAGCATAAAGTGGGTGGTGTAAAAAAATGAACCATGATTAGGAGGCCTTGGAGCAATACCCAAAGGGCTACCTAGATGAATAGAAATGTTGAACTTATTAGACCTGAATATCCTGACTTTGCAAAAAAAATAATAATCACCCTACTGGGAACTGGCTATATATTTGTTTAGCACTTAAACTGTTTACCAGTCCCAGACCATGAATCTAATTGAAGATTAACAACAACAACAGCAACAAGAACAATATGCTAAATACAGAAAAAGAGTAAGAAAGAACAAGTCAACGTAGGCATGAAACTGGAAAAAGAAAAGAGATAGAGCTACATCTAAATACATTTAAAGAAAATATTGCTACATCTAAATACATTTAAATAGAGGCAAGAGGAAGATCAAAGAAATCAAAATGGCGAGTGTAACTAATTGACTGAATTTCTGCTGTCCTATAAATGCCTCTTGAGTTTAAGCCAACATCCTTCACTATACCTCCACTATCACATCTTTCTGTCTTCCTTACCTCCATTATATCCATGTACAGCTTTTCTTCATCAAACTTTCTCTTTTTGAGGCTCTCCTCAACTCCATCCAACTTTGAATTCTTGTGCCTTTCTCTTCCTCTCAACTCATCCAAGCTTCCTTAATTTGTTTTCCAGTTTGATCCTCGTTCAATCTCTCTATATAACCCAAACCATCTCAAGCATATTTGTTTTACACTGGCCATTCTCTTTTGTACTTAATCCACATGAGTTCAGCACTCATTCAATATTCTTGACCTTATCTCTTCTTGTTTTTCACATGTACTTCTTAGAAATCCCACGCGAACTGCATTTACCCTACTGAAATGGTACTGAAATGGCCATGTTTGTCTCTTATGATGGTTTGATAAAGGGGACGATACATAGCCATATATGTTGTTTATTTTTTTCCTGATCTCAGTGCCAGGCTCTGGTTCTAAATTTTGCTGAAAGCATTCCAGGGGCTGCCCATCCAACGATAGACTTCTCTTGTTATGTGACTGGACTTTCATCTCTGCAGGAAGGATCTTCTGGAGATACCATCAATTAACAGTCCTGTTTGATGGGCTCCATTGAAAGCATGCTCACTCTGCTACGCCCTGCAGTAGAATACACTCACCAGGCTGCATCTGCACAACATACTTAATTGGGGCTGTAACTAACCTATTGGTTGCATTCACACAGTATGTTAAACTCGGCAATTTTCACCTGGATTATTTTTTTAGCATTCTGCGTGCATCCTGACCAGCATGCACCTTGGCCATCAAGTTAATTGCACAACCATTTGTCTGAAATGGTATAGGGGTTGGACTAGAAGACCTCCAAGGTCCCTTCCACTTCTATTATTCTGTTCTGTTCTTAAATACATGTGCTTTATTTATTCGTAACTCATTTACAAATGAGCGAATCATCACAAGGTTAAGCCGCATAGAAATAAACTCATTTGAGAGTTCTCTTTTAGTTATTTGAAATTTGTGCTTTTAAAACTTGGTTTCAGTGGTTTTCTTATTTTTAAGAAAACATGTTATGAAACAAATTACCAGCTTTTAATGCTTTATGATGCAGTAGTGTTCATCAACATCAACAGTAGTGTTCACAGTCATCCCAATTATCAAATCTAGGGATTCCATCCACACACAATGTGGGAAGCTCAGTTACAATTCATCTTGGTTAGGTTCTTCTAGCTTTAGAGCACTGTGTGAATTCAACCTCTTTTGTTAGTTTGTAGTTGAGTGTTTTTCATAAATGGGTTAATTCAATAATACTGCTGAATGCAGTGCTATGCTTATTTCTAAATCTGGTGGATCTTTGAAAACCTCTCATATTCCGTATTGGTTAGGGTTCTGGATGCCTGTCCTAAATGGCCCATTCAGGGAAAATAATGTGAAAACAATGTACTTTCTGGCTGCAAGGTTTGTCCCTAACAAACAGAAACAGGTACCCTAGGTGGACCATGCCACCTCCCCTGCCTCTCAACCCCAAGAGCGGATCCCAGGGATGGTTTGGGAATTTGCAATATTTTACCCTATTTTCTATTTCATGTTTTTTTTTTAGCCATGTTTTGGGAAATAGAGATACTTGGCTTCTTCTCTGCCTATCCAACCAATGTTTCAGGGATCAGATGAAAGAGAGGCTGCAACATCTTGGTTTTTTTTTTTAATTTAATTTGCTTTTAAGATCTTTTTCCACCTACAAAAACAGTGCCCAACTTAACTTGCCACTTTCACCTTGATGGAAAAACTATCCCCCCCTGCTTGCTGTTGGCCATAAAAAAAACTCCAGTTTTCCAACTTAGGCAGAGCAAATGGACAACTTCTTTTCATTCTGTCTCCTCCTCCTCCTCCTCCTCTTCTACTACTTTTTCTGAGCTCTGTTGCACCTGGTTTGTGCTTTGTGGTAAGGCGTGGGGGCCTTGTGGTTTCCGGTTGCTGTTGTGCACTCCTTGTCTCAACGCTGGGGATGATTGCACAATCTCACACCATATTTTCGGAGGCTGGCATACCCACCCACCCACTCACCTCCCTGCTGAGATTCCCTGGAAGGGGGCACAGAATGGAGCGCCCTCAAACTCAATAGGAGCCGTGAGCCTGCAACGTAAGAGTTCTTCTGAAGGATCATTGGGGCAGCTGGAATGCTGGGTGAGGGGCCTGTTCATGGGATGAGGATGGAGAGCAATTAGGGCTCTGGAGGTATGGAGGCCAGGCTGCAGGTTTCGTGTAGGACAGAGATGCGCAAGCCCCAGGGCTATAAGTAGCCTCCAACTCTTCCAGGAGTTGCCACTGAATTGCAAATTTCAATTAGACAGATGCTTTCTTTAAATGCTTGGGTTGGAATTACAATTGAATCAGATTTATCTGGGGACTGATGTCACCCACAACTTCATCCTATCTACTGTGGGGGAATCAAGCCTCCAGCACATAATATCCAGGCCAAAATTATGCACCCTTGATCTTGAATAAGGCTTGCCCAGATGTGTTGAGCTACAGTGGTTATCATCCTTCCCCAGGTAGTGATGGGGGAGGGGGGGTTGTGGTCCAGCTGATTTAGTGAGAACCAGGTTGTGAAAGGTGGATTGAGACTCAGATGTGGGGCTAATGTCTGGCTCAATTGGGGTGGTGGTGGTAACAAGCTTGTTGGGTGGGGAGTTCTTTTGTTGTTCCTTGCCCAATCTCAAGCCATTACCCAATTCTGTGGGTTTGTGGTTTAGGGCTGTTTAAGTACAAGGGGACTGGCTTCTCTATGGGTTGGGTAACTCTGCCACCCATTGCTTGTCATAGAGAAAAGTGCGCAGGAGAGACAGTGTGTGTGGTCAACCTGGCCAAAATCAAGCTATTTGGTTTTAATTGCACAGCACAACACCACAATGCAACTAGACTCTGTTTTTTTTTTTAAATGCTTGTCCTACCTCCCACTCAACTCCAGTTTCTCAATACAAGTCACCCTTGTGTTAGGAAGGTGCTTGTTACCATCTAAGTGGGGTGAAAATATCTTGCTTGTTTTGTGGATAAATATCTGGAGATTTCCCTTAAGTAGCAGTTGGATTTCTCCTCTTAGAAGCACCAGAACTCAGTTGGGTGTAAGATAGACACAGCTGGCTCACATTCCCTCCCATGTTATGATTCTGATCCAATCCTCTTCCCCTTGCTGGTATTTGTTAAGCTCAGCTCTCCTCTCCCTTGGTACAGCGTGTAAGTATAACTGTAGGGTTGGTCAACTTAGTTCCTTCTAGGGCTGTGTTGAATTCTAGCTCTCCCTCCCTTGAACTTGTACGTCTTGTTGAGAATTGTGATGCGGCAGCTTAAGAAGAGCTTCCTACGTGTATAACTCCTTGAATTGTCTTCTTTCAACATCCTAGGTAAACAATCTTGGCTCTCAAGGGTAATAAACCTGGGTTAGAAGGTGTTTGACTCAGTGAGAAAATTAGGGTTTTCCTGGCTTAGGGCAGGCTTTGGAGGAAGTCATGTTGTCTCCTTTTAAGATTGATTGGAGTTGGGACGACTAGCTTGCTTGGAAGGTTTGGTGAACTGTATTGTGTTCCTGAGAGATAAACATCCCAGCCTTGCTTCCTCTCACGAATTTGCTTCTGTCTCTGAAATTTGGCCACCTGGTCGCCCCTCGGGGATTGCAAAGTCGTGATACACACACACTCTCCCCTCCCCCCTCCCTCCCTGTCCCTTTCACACACACAGACACCACATTGGCTGTGCTGACATGGAAAATCTTTCTGCCTCCCTCCCCCTCACCCCACCCTCAAAAACACAGAAAAAGTCACAAAACTTGCTCCTTTATTCAACCAATGGGAGCAAAGAAGTACAAGGATGAATATAGAGAGAAAAGGTGGGTGGGTGGGTGGGTGGAAATGATAGAGACCCCTGGCAAGGGATAAGCGCAGGCCAATACTTTTACGACGAAAGCAGCAGAAGCCAATTGGCCGGAGATACTTCTAGGTGTAACTATTCTTCTCCCAACTTCATAGTCCAAGGAGCAGAAGATATTTTGTGCTACTCAAACTTTGGTATTTGTTTACCTGCAAGAAATTTCTCCAAGCCGGCCATCCCATAAGAGACCTCTGCAAAGTGGTGAGTAAAATCAGGGGTTGAGGCAAGGATTGTATTGGAGTGATGTGTCTGTGTGTGTGTGAGAATTTCACGCAAAAATATGTCAGACCTATTATCTAGTATCTATAGTATGATACATGATAAAATCTATTTAATTTAGCCCTCCTTAGCCAGGATGCCAAAGAAATGTTGAGACTGCTAACATCTGGAACATCTGGCTATCATGGCCAAAGGAATTCTGGGAGTTGCCAACATTTTTGGATGATGCTGAGTTAAGGAAATCCAATCCAATTCATTCTCTTCACTAGAGTTTAGGTGGATCGGTCCCAAATTGTCCTCAATGCCACCTCTGGTTTGATTCTAGCTTGGTTTTAATTATTCAACTGAGTTACTGAATAAACCCATTTTCTGGAAAAATACAGTTAGAAAAATAACATTTAATTTATATTTGTTTGTGTGTTATGAATTTCCATTTTATATACATAAAAATCTTCAGTATTTCACGAAATAGTTTTACATAACTATTATATTTATGTAAATGCATGCAATTCCGAATCTATACATAGATAAAATATTTTATGAATGAAGGCAAACATACATGTCCCAGGATCCTGCAAAATATTTTATATCTAGACAATAAGAATTTTCAATATTTCTTTTTTTTATGTAACTATCATATCTATCTACATGTATGTGTGCATTAGATAAGAATATTCAATGTTTCATTAGTTAGTTTGACATAAGGGAATAATTTTTATCATTAAAAAAAATCAGATCATTGTTAAAGTCTGGTTTAACATATAAATAACAAAGGCAACAATCAGCACAGTGTAAATAATAAGGTATGATAAAGAATTACAGTAATTCCTGTCTACTGTGAATGACTGATTATTAAACAAATCATTGAAAGCTGGACTAGTAAGAGCTTATGCAAAGGGAAACCCACATTATGAATGCAGCCTATCATTCTTATAAAAGTATAAATAATTGAAACATTTTTTATGATGTTTTGAAGGCAGGCGAGTGCATTTATTTATTTATTTATTTTCAGAAATGAAACTGGGTGGCAGATGGGGGCTATAGTCTTGGGGTGGGCAGCTTTAATCATGACTCTCTCCTGATCGTTCCACCTTGAGGGATGAAAATGGACCATCCACCTGCTCTCCTGGCAAGTGGGCAGGGCGAGAACAGTTGAGCAGGGCAAAACACGGTCTTGCAGAAAGTGAAGTGGGGATAATATTTGTCTCTATCTGTGGGCTGCAGGTATGGAGTCTTGGCAAGAAAGCTGGAGGGATAACCCGGTGCAAATGGTCCCTGTTGGAGCAGAGATCGAAGGAACAGGTAAGAGGTGCTTTTATTTGTCTGGGAAAAACGAAACCACAAAATTTTGTCTTGTTTTTGACAGGCCACTAAGTTAACAGATAATAGATAATCAGAGTTGGAAAGGACCTTGTAGGTCATCTAGTCCAACCCCCCACCGCCCAAGCGGGAGACCCTACATCATTTCTGACAAAGGGCAGTCCAATCTCTTCTTGTAAGTCTCAAGTGATGGCGCTCCCACAACTTCCGAGGGCAACTTCTGTTCCATGGGTTGATTGTTCTCACTGTCAGAAAATTTCTCCTTATTTCCAGGTTGAATCTCTCCTTGTTCAGTTTCCATCCATTATTCCTTCTCTGGCCTTCAGGTGCCTTGGAAAATAGCTTGAGCCCTTCCTCTCTGTGGCAGCCCGTCAAATATTGGAAGATGCTCTCATGTCTCCCCTGGTCCTTCTCTTCATTAGACTAGCCAGACCCAGTTCCTATAACTGTTCTTCATATGCTTTAGTCTTCAGTCCCCTCATCATCCTGGTTGCTCTTCTCTGTACTTTCTCTGTACTTTTTGCTTGGCAACTAATTCATATTTATGATGGTTTGCAGAGTCCTGGGGGGTCATGTGGTCCCCTTTCACAGCTTTCTGACAAGGTCATAAAATGGGGAAAAACTCAACATAGGTCTCACTTCGCAACAGAAATGTTGAGCTCAGTTGTGATCATAAGTCGAAGACCACCTGTATGAGGTGGTTTATTTATTTGAAACTTGACGTGTTCTGGTGGTTTCCCATCCCAACAATGATCGGGTCTAACCCTGCTTAGATTTTTTTGTTTTAAAAAAATCTACCGAGGTTGCCAGGTGCTGAGATTTGCTGTGGCATCAGTTTCAAAGAAATGAATATTATTTCATGTTTATGTCCTGTGTGAATATTCAGGCCACAAATGCAGAGAGAGTGATGGGCTGTATCTATCTCAACCTATCAGTCAGTCCAGTGGTGGGATTCAATTTTTTTTTACTACTGGTTTTGTGGGCATGGCTTGGTGGGCGTGGCTTGGTGGACATGGCATGGCTTGGTGGACGTGGCAGGGGAAGGTTACTCCAAAACCCCCATTCCCTCCCCACCCCACTAACCTGCTTTCCAGCTCTGTTCTCCTGTGCAGGGCAACAAAAGAAGACCCAGCCAATCAGCTGGGACTCAATGGGAGGCGGAGGAGAGATGGGGGCGGGGCCAGTCAGAGGTGGTATTTGCCGGTTCGCCGAACTACTGAAAATATCCACTACCGGTTTTCCAAAACTGGTCAGAACCTGCTGAATACCACCTCGGAATCAGTCCCAGGCTTTTGCTAATTCCAGCTGCATAATAAAAGAATACAAACACCTCTTACATTCTTTTCTCTCTCTTTTTACATTGACAAGACTTTTTGGAAGAGTACAGGAAGATTTTCCAAGATGATTTTGGTGACTTAGGTTCCTGGTTTCTACCTGAAAATGAGGTGGAGCAGCAGCTGCCAAGCTGGACTGGTGGAAGTTACCTGGCTGAACTGGAGGGTTTTGAAAAGACAGTGCCAATCCATGAATCCCTTGGCTTGAAAGGTAAATAACAGCATCCTGGGCAGCAGCAGAAGTTGGGGTGCAGTCCCAGCATCGGCACCCCTAATTATTTATCCCAACTGGTGCTTTTTAATCATTCTGCCTTCATTTTAAGCGGGTGCATGAATCTGCATTTTTCCTCTTCCTTTTCCATCCCTCCTTCCTTTTCTGTTGAATCCATTACAATTATAAAAATTCAAGCAGGAATGATTTTGTTTCCTTTCTCTGTTTTTAGACTTTATTTTAGACACTAAGAAAAATAGGAGAGGAGGAGATTAAACAAAATTAAGAGTAGTGTGGAGGCAGGTTTATAGAGATTTGAATTTAAAATTTGCTAAACATTCTCTATAAAGTAGTATTCTAATTTTAATAGGAATATGAATGGATATTCTTTTTTCAAATATACTTTATTAAGTGTTTGCTATATCTATATCTATCTATTTCTATCTATGTATATCTATCATCTATCTATCTATCTATCTATCTATCTATCTATCTATCTATCTATATCTATCTATCTATCTATCTATCTATCTATCTATCTATCATCATCTATCTTTCATCTATCTATCGTCTATCTATCTATTTGTAACTATCAAAGTTGGAAGTTTTTCCTATTTTTTGTTATACTTGGCACTTTTTCTCTCCTTATTTTTAGTAATCATGAATAGTTGTCATCACTGAGTTCCAAACATCAAAAGTTTCATTTTTTTCCATTTCAAACAAGATGTTCAAAAGTGGCCTCCTAAGTTTTCTTCTCTTTAATCTTCTCTTTAAGTTTTTAGTTTCACCATTTCAGCCAGTTCCATTAATTTCATCCTCCATTCTTCCTTTGTGGGAATTTGCAGCTCCTGTGGTCTCCGTGCTTGCAAAGATCTCACTGCTTTTATCATATATAGAAACTATTTATTTTTTTATTTTTTTATTTATTTGATTTGCCAATTGTTTACAAGATAATAAGTATAAGAGTATACATAGTTGTGAATACATGAAATGGGTACATATATGAAAAATAAAAGAATAAGAGAAACAATAGGACAGGGACGGTAGGCACGTTGGTGCGCTTATGCACGCCCCCTACAGGCCTCTTAGGAAAGGGGTGAGGTCAATAGTAGACAGTCTAAGGTTAAAGTTTTTGGGGTTTGGGGAAGAAACTACAGAGTCGGGTAGAGTATTCCAGACATTGACCACTCTATTGCTGAAGTCGTATTTCCTGCAATCAAGTTTGGTGCGGTTTACTTTGAGTTTGTATCTATTGTGTGCTCTTGTGTTGTTATGGTTGAAGCTGAAGTATTCATTGACAGGTAGGACATTGCAATGTATGATTTTATATACCATGCTTAAGTCAGACCGAAGACGGCGTAATTCAAGGTTTTCTAGTTCTAGAATTTCAAGTCTGGTGGCATAAGGTATTCTACAACGAGTAGAGGAGTGGAGAACTCTTCTTGTGAAATATTTCTGGACTTTCTCAATTGTGCTAATATCAGATACGTAATGTGGGTTCCAAACTGATGAACTGTATTCGAGTATTGGTCTAGCAAATGTTTTGTATGCTCTGGTTAGTAGTGTGATATTACCAGAGAAAAAGCTACGTAGGATTAGGATAACAACTCTTAATGCCTTTTTGGCTATGTAGTTGCAGTGGGCTCTAGTTCTATACCGGTGCTTTGCTATGAAACTATGTGATTGGGGAGGAAAATAAGGGGGGGAAATTCTGCCTCTGCCTACCAACATCCATCGGTATTCATCTGGCTAGTGTCCTGTCAGTGTGTGGGAGAGTTGAGGGCTGTTTGGAAACTGAAACAGTATTTGCTGTGTGAGCAAGAAGGAGACAGCAAGGAGCCTGGCCATGGTTTAACTCAGCTACTCTGTACTAAAGCTGCTTGCTGCTGTGAAACTAAAACTGAAACTCCTCTCCTCTGCTTGTGTTTTGCATTTGGAACAGATTTCTTTTCAGGTGAGGCGGGGGAGTAGAACTCCTAGCATCAGAGCCTGTTAATGATAATATAGGAAATACTAATGCTCTGATGGTCATTTGGAAAAATCCTTTTTTAGTGAGCACCTAGAAGCCAAGAGGAACATATGTGCCACATTTCAAGTTTGTAGATAAAGGTCTGTGTTTTTTCTTAAGCTGGTTCTCCATCAATTTTCAAGAAACCATCTATTAATGACCTTTATCACTTTAGCAGTACAGATATAAGTAGCAGTAAATGCACCATCCCTAACACCACACACTACAAGAATAAACATGAATGGAATTATCTCTTTTCCTTTTGAGGCTTTCCTGAGTACACCAAGACCATTGTGGAATTGAAGCAGGTTTCTTCTGATCCAGATTACAGAGAACCATACCATGGTGGTGAGTTTTGGTTTATACTTGGAAGGAGAGAGAGGGGAGTAGAGAAAGCTTGTGGCACTAAGGGGAAATACTTGTGCTTTCTGAAGTGTGAGGCTTACACTCTCACAAATATCAAATTCTCATTTGATAGGAATGAGGATTAACAGGTGCATTTATTTATTAAGCACATTTAAACTGGCTGCCAAACTCATACATGGTGACTCAAACCTTACTGAAAGTTGATTCAAACTTCAATGTTTGGAATATTTAAAGCCCACTTTTGACTCAATTTTTGTAGCTCATGTGGCAATTTATACTGGGTTGGCTGCGATTCTTGATATGTCTCCTTGCTTAAAGCTGAACGGTGATTTTTAGTAATCTATATTACTAGAAATATAGGCTCTATATTCAGCCATTTATTAATAATGCAGCTTAAAGTTATGACATCCTTGGGATTTTTAGACTCCCCTTTTTGTGTTTTATTATTTTATCTTTTTGACCTGTTTTTTTTATTTTGCACTTATGTTTATGTGTTTTCTTTAAAAACCTAAAAAAATCAAATCAAAACAAAATGTTTTTTAACTTTTTGTTTAATTATTATATTGCAGAAGCCTAAAGAGTGAAAAACAAAAATATAAAAGGCAAAAAGAGAACAAACTAAAAATGTTGCAATAAAGAATTGGATGGTACAATCTTCTCTTCATTCTTTTCTCCAACCAGTAGCCTTTAGTTAAATATTAAGTCCAGATGCCTTTTGAACATCACCTTTGGAACACATAAATATTGATGGAATACATTTAATATTTAATAATAGACATCGGGCGTATTTGCTCATATCTGTTTAAATAATTTCATCTGTGTTTTTTTAGTTAACCACTATACTTATTTTTCTTGGAAGCCGTATTACAAATATCTAAATTTTCCTTGCTAGTAATGTGACTTATATAGGGGAAATATTCCTGCTTAAATTTGGTCCTATTATAACTACCCTGCTTCCCTGAAAATAAGACCCAACTGGAAAATAAAACCTACCATGATTTTTCAGGATGCTCGTAATATAATCCCTACCCCGAAAATAAGCCCCAGTTAAGATTGTCTGCCAGACGGATGCATTTAGAGCCGTATTTCCCCTAAAATAAGCCCTAATGCGTCTTTTGGAGCAAAAATTAATATAGGACCCGGTCTTATTTTTGGGGAAACACGGTATATACTGTGGCTTAGCCATCATTGCACATTCAGTGAAGGAGAAAAATGTCTTTAGTCTCATCCGTATATTTATTTTATTTATTTATTTATTTGGTTTGTCAATTGCTTACTAGATAATAGGTATAAGTAAAAACATAGTTATGAATACATGGATACATATAAGACAAAAAAAAAAAGAAACAATAGGACAGGGACGGTTTATTATATGTTTCTATGAATAATTTTGAAAATGGTACAGTTAAGAAAGAGTACCTTACATGTACCTGTTTAAAGGGAAGTGAGATGGGCTATGTCACAAGTCCTTATGCGTATTTCTTAGTGCATGAGTGCAATGACTTGGCAAGATGGCATATGTGTTTTGGGAAGTTTAAACAAAGCAACCCTCCCCTTATCCCCTTTTAAAAACATCCTATGCACTTCTGTTACAAATTAGTTAAATTGATCATGGCTTTGGAGTAAGACAGAGCAGGAAACAACATAACAGCGCAATACAAATTACCTCTCTGCGTCAACTGACACAACTCGGAGTTAAAGCAACAAGAGGAAGTAAAGGTTTAAAAACTTTGCCGAAATGTTGTAAGGCTGCCAGTCATCAGCCTTTCCCAAAAACATTCCCCTTTAGAAAAGTTAGACTATCAGTCCCATGTTTCCCTGCCAGAACAATTCTCTGGGAATTTAAGGGAATTGCCACATATATCTGAAATGTGGATGAGGAGTAGGTGGAATAATAATAATAAACTATTGTGCTACTACAACAGGAATATTGCAGTATTTGCACCAATGTAGGTATATAGCATAAAAGGCCATTTTTCATTATACGTGGATATGAGAATTCTTCTGACATTTCCCAGACAAGGCATTTATCAGAAGTCACTAGTCTCATTTCTCAGAGAAATGAGAAGTTGCAGTCCAACCTTCTGCAATGTGTAGGAGAATTAGTTAAACCATCAGAATAGAGACCTGGAAGGGACCCTTCTAGTAGAGCCCCCTCCTTCTTTAAAATTTCCAGACATGGGTGACCCACCCCCTCAATAGAGAGATCATTCCTTAGATCTTACCATCACAAGACTTTTCCTTCTGCTTAAATTTTTCCTTACATTTGGAGGAATGTGAAATGCTGGCTAGCAGCTTAAGACCAATTGATCAAGCCACACTAGAGCTTAAACATTCCACCATAAATCCTGGCTGATGGCTGAGTGCAACATGTGAATCCAGGCAACACTGATTCAGAAAAACCCCGGTTAAGCCCTTAATAAATAGGTCCTCTGTTTTCTCACTGTATAGAGGACACAGGGAATGGCCTTGAAGGTGACATGGGCTGTAAGAATGACTTTCAGATGAAATTGCTGCTACCAAGCCAATATCAGAGAACAGAAATTTGAGGCCGGACCAAGAAAATAATATGAGAAAATGTCTCAGATCAGCCCCACTCTAATTCACACAAAAATAAAAGGAGGAAGAGCATTTAGACTTGAAAGATACTGTTATTAGAGCCGTTCAAAAGTAATCCTGACCTATCTGGCATTGGTCTTTTAGTCTGGTCTACCTTGTTGGGTTGGCACATTAATTCTATTTCTTCTACATCCTCACCTGTACCCGAACATCTATTTAAGAGAGGGGTGAGAAGGCCCTGAATTCCTTCAGTGTCTTTTGACTCTTAGTACCAGAAGTTGTCTTTCTCCTGATGTCAGGATTCCAGAAGTTACCCCCATTTAAATCATGAGTCTCAAGCCAAATTTCCAAAACTCAAAAAGGATTTATTGGGAATTAAACTGTCTGGCACTGCCTGGGTGTTGCTGACTCTGAGACACATAATTCATTGTCAACCTTGACGCTGGTTTTCTCCCACCCCCCTGGGTGTATCATAACTCATATTCTCCAATGGGACACATCCATAGCCAAGAGTCATCAATCATGCTCTCCAGTTAGAATTTTGCGCGGCAGAAACTTTGTTCACCTAGTTGCTATCTTTGAAAACATTTATGGAATGCACTTGCGGTTTGGAAGCTGCCACACTCTCCCCCTCCCTTTCTGTTGGCAACTCTAAAAAGACATAGAAATATTTTATGTGTTGACATCTAAGACTGGTGCCTGATGATTTTTATAACCTGGAATTCTTGCCTCTTATGTCTAAGGGACACGGTGGCTCAGTGGCTAAGACGCTGAGCTTGTTGATCAGAAAGGTTGGCAGTTCAGTGGTTCGAATCCCCAGCGCCGCATAACGGCGTGAGCTCCTGTTTCTTGTCCCAGCTTCTGCCAACCTAGCATTTCAAAAGCATGTAAAAAAAAAAAAATAGGGACCACTTTGTAGAAAAATTGGGACCGCTTTGGTGGGAAGGGAACAGCGTTCTGTGAGCCTTCGGCGTTTAGTCCTGCTGGCCACATGACCACGGAGACATCTTCAGACAGTGCTGGCTCTTCGGCTTTGCAACGGAGATGAGCACCGCCCTCTAGAGCTGGAAACGACTAGCATGTATGTGCGAGGGGAACCTTTACCTTATAGACACCTATGCTTATAGATAGACACAAGGTGAGAAAAGTGGTAGGACTGCTGTTCTCCCATAATTCTGACGACACCTGTTCCTTTAATCTGCAGCTTCAAGAATGGTGCTCCAACAAGACGGTGTCCCCCACAGCTTCGAGGGTTCCAGTTGTCCCCCGGCTGCGCCTCAGCCTTGGTTTGTCCTGTATCCTGATTCTCCTGGAGAACAGGTGTCTTCTGCTCAGCTTCCTCTTGGAGATCAGCAAGAACAGCAGAAGGAAGGTAAAAAATCTCAGATTTGCATGACTTTGTATCATTCCTGTCCTCCAAAGTACCCTTCCAATTCCTGAATTCTTTTTTTAAAACTTATTTTCAACATGCTTTAGGGAAAAAAAAAAATTGGGAGCTGTTTCTCACAAATTGGGAGCTTACATTATCACTGCGTGTGTGTGTGTGCATGCATGCTTGTCTTTCTTTCACACCTTAACCTAAAAAAACGCTCTGTGAGAAATTTGTGGGATTTAAGGCAGCATAAGAAGCCCTTCAGTTGGAATGGTGCGGTGGCCTAGAGGTGGAGGTCTTGCCTCACAATCAGAAGGTTGTGAGTTCAATCCTAGGTAGAGGCAGATCTTTCTCTCTCTGGGCACCCTGAGAATATATCTGCTGAACAAAACTCTGCATTGTCAACAGGAAGGGCATCCGGCCATGAAAACACTCTGCTAGCTCCATGCAAGGGATTATGGGGTCATTAAATGAAGATGATAAGAAGCCCTGTCCATTGCTCATTGCAAGATCTTACTCTAGTGCAGTGTTTCTCAGCCTCAGCAATCTTAAGATGTATGGACTTCACCTCCCAGAATTCCTCAATCAGCAGCATAAGAATCCCGCAGCTCCTTTGCTAAGACTCATCCTTTGCAAACCCAAAGCAAAAGCAATTCCTTTTCCACCAGGCAGAATGTGAATGATGGAAACAACAGTGCAATACTAAATCTTGAATAAGACATCCTGCTGTTCTCAACACTGTGCTCGCTCAATGGGTTTAATCTTAAACCCAGATTAAGAAAAGCACAATGGATGTGTGTGTACATACTATTCTCTGTCTCAACCACTGAACCATATGATGATCTAATGTGGTGGCTGAAATCACTCAAGACGCTAAGGGTAGTAGTGGCTGCGGTCTATCGATATGCTCCGAACCTTCTAAGTTCCCCACCCCATGCTTATTAAATATGTTTTAATGCAGATGAGGCCAACTCAGTTTCTCCATAATTAGCAACGATTTCTAATTTCTAATTAGGACACTATAAATTGGTCTAGAGCAGTGGTGGGTAACCTTTTTGGGCTCCTGTGCCGAAAATTGGTGTGCCAGCACCAAGAAGGCAATGCGCGTGTCCCCCCCATGCCCCCCGCGCTTGCGCGCATGATCCCCTCACTGCCCCCTTACCTGCACTGTGCATCCACGTGCCTCCCAGCTGATTTTCAGGCCTTTTTTGGCCTCCCAGAGGCTCAAGGGAAGCCTCTGCAGCCTTTGGAGGCCAAAAAAATGGGTCAGTTTTATCACTTCCGGTATTTCTGGAAATACAGGAAGTGATGAAACAGGCCTGTTTTTCAGCCTCCAAAGCTTGCAGAGGCTTCCCTCGAGCCTCTGGGAGGCCAAAAAAGGCCTGAAAATCAGCTGGGAGGCACGCGTATGCGCAGTGAGGTAAGTTTGCCTGGGGCTCGCGTGCCCACACAAAGGGCTTACTAGCTTTCATGCTTACTTCCCTGATTCTGTCCATCCATTGTCATTGCCTCTAGAACATTGGATCGAGTCCCTTGGCCCCGATTCAGGCAGCCAATCCAGTGCCTTGGACAGCGATTCTTGCCAGTGCGATTCACCAATCAGGAGCCAGAAAAAAAGGGAACGCAGAGACCAGGCGGACAGCAAGAACCCCAATGCTTTACCTAGAGATCGGACAGGTAATATTGACCGGGGAGCATGGGGTTGGGAGACTTCCGAAACCCATAATGTGCTGACACTAAATTTCAGGTCTTAAAGGGTCTGGAGTTACAATGACTTTTTAAGTTGCTTGCCCATTCACATTAAGGTCAGGTATGATGTTGGCTTCTCAGTGGTGACTCCAAAATTAGGAAATGTCCCATTTTGGGGAATCGTCTTTTTTTTTTTTGTCTGGCTTTTGGATAAAGTACAGGTAGTTCTCCGACTTATGACCACCAGGGAGCACAAATTTTCTGTTGAGGTGAGACATTTGCTAAGTGAGTTTTGCCCCATTTTTCGACTTTCTTGCCTCCGTTGTTAAGCAAATCCAAATCACCCGTGCATCTCCCGTTTTGATGGCAGGGGCCGGACCCATTCAATTATGGCGCTTTCTGCTGGAGCTCCTGCAAGATGGCTCCTGCCAAGCCCTTATCCGCTGGACAGGGAATGACTGGGAATTCAAGCTCTGTGACCCACACGAGGTGAGTCCTCCCCCTCGCCCTCCCCTCATTTATATACAACCCACGGTGCCCTTCCCTTGTGGCAAAGAGTCTCTCGGGAATACAGAGGTATTGTATTCTCTATATAATATACAGATAAGATATTATAATATCTGTATAATATAATATTATACAGATATGACATCTGTTCTGACCTAGGCTCCCCAAGATCCTGATGCAGACTTCTCGTCCCAATAAAACCCCTTTTATTTCAGTTAAAGGGAATTCCTCTCCAGCAAAGTCCCGGCAAACAGTCTTTTAAGAGATTTCACAACTACAGACCTTTATCAGGCTTGGAGAATTGCCAGGCCTATATCTTCCAAACGCTGCACTGTAGCAGCAATTACTTGGCAAGAAGACAGGAACAGATCTTCACCCTAATGAATTGAACTAATTGTCTCCTGCAAACACCACCCTCCTTTCGCTCTTTATTCCCTATGGGAGGGGCCATTCACCGTCCACCTCTGGATTTACTCCCAAGTCGCCCCTTGTTCCTTAGCTGCTCCCTTCTCCTGGCAGCTCTGTGCATACGCACACTGAGAACAGGCTCCAGCTGTTCTTCTGCCTCACTGATCTCTGACTCCGAAGGCAGCTGATAACTGTCCGGCAGCCCTGGCCCCATCTCTGCCTCTGATGCAGAGCCCTCGTCAGAGCCTTCCCCGGACTCCATGACTGGCCCATGTTCCTCCCCAACCTCCTCACTGTCCGAGTCTGCCGCCAAAAGATATTGTATTCTCTATATCAGAGGTCTCCAAACTTGGCAACTTTAAGACTTGTGGACTTCAACTCCCAGAATTCCTCAGCTAGCTATCTTATACAGATATTATATTATCACAAATGTATATTATACAGATATTATATCTAGGTCTACAGGATGACATGGTTTTGTGTTTGTTAAATCAGGAGCTTAGTCCCTCTGAATGTGCAACAGGGAAAAGAAAGCTGAGCAGATGTATGCACTTCAGCATGTTTTAGATGTGGGCATGGTTGGCTTGGCTTAATGGGTTGCCTGCAACTCATTGCGGCTTATTCAACAAATCATGGCCTAGCATTAGGGCATACAAACAACCCATGGCTGAATATGGTCCCCTTAGCACAAGGGTCTTCAAAATTGACTTCAACTCCCAGAATTCCTGAGCTAAGATGACAGGAGGAAGAATTCTGGGAGTTGAAGTCCACAAGTCTTAAAGCTGTCAAGTTTGAAGACCCCTGCCTTAGCACACCAACTCTATCAAAGACCAGACGTTTCCTGCCTTCCTGAAGCCAACGGTACAGTGAGTTTAATGGACTCCATCGCCTGTAAAACTCCATCCTTCTTCTAAACCAAGGATCTTCAAACTGGGCAAGTTTAAGACTTGTGGACTTCAACTCCCAGAATTCCTGAGCTAACATGACTGGAGAAGGAATTCTGGGAATTGAAGTCTGCAAGTCTTAAAGCTGTCAAGTTTGAAGACCCCTGTTCTAAACCCAGAGAAGAAACATCATGGCCTCATCCACTGCGGCCCTCCCTCTCCCTCAATGGCCAAAATGGTCTCTGTGGTTAGCTTGAGTAGCCACAACGGGCCCAGGCAATGCAGCATTATCTGGGCACAAGCCGCAAGTAGCAACGCTCGAGTAAGGACTCGGGCTAAAATGGGCTTCTGGTTATCAGTGCCAATGGACTGCTTACTCATCCCCCTCCCTCTGCCTCCCCCTCCCTCTCATTTCCTACTAGGTGGCCAGGCGCTGGGGCAAACGGAAGAACAAACCCCGCATGACGTACGAGAAACTGAGTCGGGGGCTACGCTACTATTACCACAAGAACATCATTCACAAGACCAGCGGGCAGCGTTACGTCTACCGCTTCGTTTGTGACATCCAGGGCCTGCTGGCCGAATTGGATAAGAAATTGCAGATTTAGCCCGCGACAACCATCTTAAAAAGAGAACCTTTTCTTCATTCCTTACGCACCAAAACTTCAGAAGAGAGAGAGAGAGCAGGGGCGGCTCCCTTGGAGAAGACTCTGGCTTCTTTTAAGCTACATCTAAAGCAAGAAGGGTGCAAGAAATGCTGGCTGTGGGCTGTGGACCCTCTCTGGATTGGGCAGGGCAAAAAAACAACACACACACACACAAAGCAGTTTTTTTTTCCCCTGGGGTGGGGGAGGGAAATTATTGCTCTTGTGGGATGGGATAGGTAAAAATAACCCACCCACCCACCAAAAAATAGAATTGGGGTCTTGATCTTAGCTTTAGAGAAGGAAGGCAGGGAGGCAGCTAATAAACCCTGGGTAAAAGTATAGAACCGTGATAGCGAATTGATGGCACGCGTGCCACAGGTGGCACACAGAGCCATTTGTGCGGGCACGCGAGCCCCAGGCAAACTTACCTCACTGCACATGCGTGCGCCTCCCAGTTGATTTTCAGGCCTTTTTCGGCCTGCCAGAGGCTTGAGGGAAGCCTTTGCAGGGTGAAAAATAGGCCCATTTTGTCACTTCTGGTATTTCTGGAAATACCGGAAGTGACAAAACGGGCTCATTTTTCGGCCTGCAAAGGCGTCCTTCAAGCCTCTGGCAGGCCGAAAAAGGCCTCAAACGGGCCGAAAATCAGCTGGCAGGCACAGTGCAGGTAAGGGGGCGGCAGGGGAAGGGGAATCGTCTGCGCATGCACAAGGGGTGTGGGGGGCCTATGCGCATTGCCTTCTGGGTGCTGGCATGCGAGTACGCACGCAATTTTTGTCACAGGAGCCCAAAAAGGTTAGCCACCACTGGTATAGAATATTAGCAGAAGTTTTGCAAATGAAAGCATGTCCGTTACTTCTCTTGATTCAAGGAGTAAGAACTGGCAAGATTTGATCCATATTAAGTATCTCGATTTTCACAGACATTTTGGAAGACTACCATTCTCGAGGCTATCTGCTCTCCCCGCCACACACACACACACACACACACACACCATCCGTCTCCTTCTCTGTTAGCCATTATTAAACCATTTTAAACAGGGTCCCGCCTCTCATAATGGAAAAGAGGTTCTCCGTGGCGGGCTCAACTCTTTTGAACTCCTTTTGGTGGTGGTGGTGGGGTGGCATGGCCTCTTCCCAATTGCTTTTAAGGAGACCTTAAGTATCAGTTTCAATTGGTGCCTTCGTAAGGATGATGGCGAGCTGCCTTTTTAAACAGCCGCTGCTGGTTTTTTTTTTTTGTTTTTTTTAAGAGGTCAAAATTATATCGGTCTCAGCTGGAAATCTGTACATAGCGGTTAGGAAAAATGCAGATTTTCTTTTTGTTATATTGATTGTAAACTATGTTCAATTCTAAAAAAGTTTGGCAATGCAACACGAAATAAAGTTTAAAAAAACATCATTTTTTTAAATGGAAAACCTCCCCACACCAATTAATTGATGGACTGAGCAAAGGTAGAATGGTAAGCTTTTATGGAAAGCCTTTTTTCCCCATCCTCCTTGGCTTCTTAAGGAGCTGCAGCCACAGTCTGAGCCAGCCTTATAATCTCACGTTTACAGGCAGTCCTTGACTTAGGACCATAAGGGAGCCTGGGATTTCTGCCGTAAGTTATGACAGTCAGTAACTCTCACGACTGATCCGATTTTACAACCTTTTTTTTTGGTGGCAGTTGTTAAGCAGTTGATGCATTTTGGCCCAGCATTGTAAATCGCATCATGTGACTGGGGAATGCTGCCAACCAGCCATAAAAGCAAACTAGTGGCCAAGCGGCCAAAACATTTGGAGGTTTTGACCAATAGGTTCTGTGGGCGTGGCTTGGTGGGCGTGGCAAGGGAAAGATACTGCAAAATTTCCATGGCCTCCCCACCCCACTAACCTGCTTTCCAGCTCCGTTCTCCTGTGCAGGGCAACCAAAGAAGACCCAGCCAATCATCTGGGACTCAGGATGCAGAGAATAGATGGGATTTGCGGGGCCAGTCAGAGGTGGGATTTGCTGGTTCTCCAAACTACTCAAAATTTTTGCTACTGGTTCTCCAGAACTGGTCAGAACCTGCTGAATACCCACCTCTGATGTGATCCCCTTTTGCGACCTCTGGACAATGGGGAAGCCAGATTCACTTAACAACCACGTTACTAAATGTCTATGGAGATTCTCAGTCAGCCAGGTCAGTGGTTGCAAACCAGTGGGTCGGGGACTCCTAGTGGTCCGCGAGAAAATTTTGGTGGTCCGCAGAGAAATGTCCCCCCCAAAGCAATTAATCCAGGCTGCATAGGAACACAAAGCTGCGCCACCCACATAGCCTGCCTACCCGCTGGCCCCCATCCTTCGGCTGAGTGCAAACCTTACCTTGTGTACAGCCATGCAAGCTGGAACTGGAAGGTAAGACCAACGGCGGGAAGGGAAATCCGCGCCGGGGTGGCTTGCTGACGTTGGTGGGAAAGTCGGTCCCATATTCCAGAGCTGCAATTGTCACAAGACTGGCCCTTTGGTCATCCCGGAGCAACTTCTCCAGTCCATGGCAGGCTGGTGCACCCAGGTGGAGGAGTAGCTGCTCTGGGATGACCAAAGGGCCAGTCCTGTGGCTCCTGCAGCTCTGGAATATGGGACTGACTTTCCCACCAATGTCAGCAAGCCACTGTCAGTCAAAATTCATATTAGTGATCCGCGGGATTTAAAATTATGAGTTTGGTGGTCCCTGAGGTCCAAAAGGTTGGCGACTCCAGATCTAGGTGATGGTTATCCCAAAGATGCTTTTTGACTTTCTGGTGTTTTTTTTTCTTGGAAGACATTTCACTTCTCATCTAAGAAGCTTCTTCAGTTCTGACTGGATGGTGTGAAATGGAAGGATTTATCCTTTCAACAGTTCCAAGAAGGCTCCACACCCATTTGCACCACTCAGGACACCTTGAAGACACAGATAAATCTCCAAATGGCCTCAATGACTCTATAAAAGGATGCAAATGACCAGCTGTCTGCAAGAAGTATAAATCCTTCCATTCCCCCCACTACCATCCTGTCAAGAGCTTGAAAAGCTTCTTGGATGAGAAGCAAAATGTCTTCAAAAAAAACAAAAAACCCCAGAAAGTCCAATTGCCTCTTGAAAAAGAAGCACCTTTGGGACTTCTTTAACAACTGCGGTGATTCACTTAACGGTGGCAAGAAAAGTCGTCAAAAGAGGGCAAAACTCGCCAAAATTTCTGGCATAGCAACAGAAATTCTGGCCTCCATTGTGGTCGTAAGTTGAGGACAACCTGTACCTTTTGGGTGGGGGGGTGGGGGGTAGTTTCGGCCATAATTAAGTCACCGGTTGTTAATCAAGGTCTACCTTTAGGAAAGTTAGTCATCCCTCAGAGAGGACAAAACCACGTTTCCTTTCGGCTTATCCAATGGCGAAGAACGCTGGGAGTTGCAACTCAAAGAGAATGTGAGCTAGTATCATGTCCCAGCATTGTTACAGAAGCAGCCTGCTTGGAAAAAAAACCACCTGGCTTGCTAGCTTTAATGCACAGCACGTAGCACAAGGCTGCGGCATCTGCTTATATTCCTGCCATTTGTGAAAGGACGCACTCGTCTCCTTGCTGCTTCAAAACACGGTAGTTCAGGAACAGAGGCCGCCTACCGTTTTGCCCGCTGCACCTTCGCTCTAGGACAATTTATTGTCGTCATACGAAGGGCAACCCATTGAGGAAATTCGAGGAAAGCTTCTCTTTTGTAGGGAAGGATGAAAGAAAAAGTAACAAAACCAGATCAGTTTCCCTCCACCAAGGAAAAAGAAAAAATTAGGCGTACGTTTCTCTTAGCCGTGACGCAAGGGAAAAGGTTAGAAAAAAAAGGCAAAGCCAGATGAAGGAAGATACACTTCGATTTTATTTCAAATCCTTGGAAAATACACGGGTGCTACTTGTTGAGATGTACCGTCAACGTTACTTCCTCTCCCCCCAGCCACCCTTGAAGAACAGGGAGGAGAGGGAGGGGGGTGAGGAGAGTGCAGAAAACTGCTTTTACCTCCTTTCGTGAGATTAAGAGCCATCGTTCAGCAGTTGGATGGAAGCACTGCAGCTTCTCAGACTGATACCCAGAAGCTCATCAAAGCCACATCTGCTGTTGCTGCAGGTTTTTGGCTGCCAAGTTCCAACGCTCCAGCCACTGTTGCAAAGTGAAGCCATGGCGGCGCTTGTGAGGAAGAACAAACTGTCCTGGCTGCTCCCACCTAGACAGAGAGGAAACATAAAGGATGTACGAATGCGGCACACCTCCTATGATGACCGGGGGCATGGCACAAAGGCAACAGTCACATAACTAAGAAAAGTCCCTTTAATACTTCCAACTTTGCCTGCAATGTCCAGTTACCTTTGGCTGGAGAAAAAACTCTCCCAAGAACAGTCTTTTAAGTGGAGGAAATTCAGTCCAAAAACAAAGTACAGATAAACTGTAAATAAAAATCCAGATAAACCGTGCTGCAGCAATTAACTGGACAGGGCAGGATAAGGAATTGCAGACTTCAAAGGCCAACAAAGGACACAGTTGGGAAGACGCCAGGAACCCAGATAAGGCTCGACAAACAAAGATAACTCACGGTTTACTTCCAGCAATTTTGCTGTGCGCAGCTTTCCTTTTTAAACACAGTTTTCCCAGCTGTGGATCATGAAGGGAATCAGGACCCTTTCCTCCCCCATAAGCCATGCAACTCACGTTGCTTCCTTCTCCGTTCCTCCCTGCGTACCCTAGGATGAAGAGGGGGTGGGCCTGGATCTTCCTCCGAATTCTCTCTGCCTTGCTCTACCTCTCCCCTGCTCTGCCCAGCCGGACTGTGCCCTTCCCCAGTTTCTTCCACAGCCAACAGAGCCACACTCCCACTCCCTGTCAGCTGCTCAACCTCCCCCTCGGAATCAGATTCCAACAGGGGCATGACACCTCCTGTCAGAGTGCGTACAAGCTTTACTACATGAGATAACCCCGGAGCAATAACAGCAAACAGAGGTTTGTAATAAATAGTGGTTTTATCTACAAACGAATATACTGTATACTGTACCCACATGTACTATAACCAAAAGTCAAATGAACAGCAAATTATAGCAGGGAAGAACACACGGCGATGTTGTGGCCCGCTGGCGGCTGATGGAGATAGCAGCGGAGTTGGGGAGGAGGTTGGGGAGGAACCTGGGCCAGTCTTGGAGGCTAAGGGGGGCTCGGATGAGGGCTCTGCATCAGAGGCAGAGATGGGGCCAGGGCAGGATGGCCATCATCAGCTGCCTTTGGGCTTGGACAGCAGTGAGGCGGGGGAGCTTCTGGAACCAGTTCCCAGCCTGAGCATGCGCAGGGCTACCAGAAGATAACAATTGAGAAAGCAGGGTCGACTGAGGAGTAAGGCCACACCTTGGAGATGGTTGGCTTCTC